TGATAAATTGTGTCATAACCTTGTCAAAGTGGCTGTGGAAACACAAGCTGCAGGCAATCGACTGATACACCACCGACAGTTGACAGATACACCACCGACTGTTGATTGCCACATGTCAGTGGAGGAGTCGGCTGAGTGTCAACCGACATACCGACCAATAGTGTCAACCGACAGTCTATAAACGTGGATAACATGTCAACCAACACCCGGCCGACTCTCAGTCGACATATCGACTGCGTATTAGCCAATATGTCGACCTACTGTCGGTCAATATATCGGACGATAGTTTCAACCGATACTCGACCGACAGATGCCTTAAGTACACATGATCCAATCCCCCCTTTCTATAGCTAGGTCAGATTTTACACCCATCTCCTGTACAAAGCTCAAGATCCATTCAAAGCAGGCAGACATTCTATGTTCCTAAACAAATTCTACATGTACTAAGATTTACTGTTGAAAATTGGATGGAAAAAAATTCTACTATTTCAAAGCTAAGCCAATCACAAGTGAACGATGAAATTTGGGTAATAAAGAAAAAGAAAATTCACATCTAGGAACGGTCTTCGCTTCACAGATCAAGAAACTCAGGAAGAGATTTTAATGCTGGGTGGACCCACCCCTTTTTCAGGTCAGATCTTACACCCATCTGCTACAGGTACAAAGCTCAAAATCCATTCATTGAATGCAGACATTCCTAATGCTCCTAAAAAAAATTCTATATTAACTGAGGTCCACTGTTTATGAAAAAGAAAATTCTACTATTTCAAAGCTATGCCAATCGCAAAGGTGAACGATGAAATTTGGGTAACAAAAAGAGAAAAAACAATTTACATCTAGGAACAGGCTTTGCTTCGCAGATCAAGAACTCAGAAAGAGATTTTGCTGGGTGGACCAACCCCTATCTAGGTCAGATCTTACACCCATCTCCTGTACAAAGCTCAAGACCCATTCAGCACAGGCAGACAGTGCCTGTTCCTAAATAAAATCTTATATGTACTAAGATTCACTGTTGAAAGTTGCATGAAAAAATAATCCACTGATTAAAACCTAAGCCCAGTCACAAAGGTGAATGATAAGGTTTGAGCAACAAAGAAAACAAAATAATATGGAGTTAGGACCAGTCTTTGCTTCACAGATCAAGAAGATTAGGAAGAGGTTTTGCTGGGTGGACCAACCCCTTTCTAGGTCAGATCTTACACCCATCTCCTGTAAAAAGCTCAAGATCCATTCAGCGCAGGCAGACAGTCCTTGTTGCTAAATAAAATTTCATATGTACCAAGATCAACTGTTGAAAAAAAAATCCACTCTTTCAAACCTAAGCCAGCCACAGAGGTAAACAATGAGGTTTGAGTAACAAAGAAAACAAAATAATTTGGAGCTAAGACCAGTCTTTGCTTCACAGTTTGTTTCTCAAACTTTGTCAGTAACTTGTTTCAAAACTGTAACTTTGAGGTTGTTTGAATATGATTTTCTTGTTGAGACAACCTAACATGTTCCTGAAATTTTCAAAATGATATGCTTTGACAGTGCTGTGTCATGCCAAAATTCAGTTCAATTTCATCAACCAAGTACATGATTTACATGTACCTGTCAACACAATTTTCCTGGTTAAAAGTATCCCTTAATCTAAGTTTTTATCGAAAATCTAGCTTGGGCAAAACAAAAAACGAAATTATAAAACACAACAATTGAGAGCACCTTGAAGACTAGGCACTTATTGTAAGCTAATTGCCTGACATTTTGACCTTTCACACAGTGATCATTATCTCCAACATTGATCCAGAAATGTTTGCCTGTAGGTCTAATTTTCAGTAAAATTGTCTTTAGGTCTCTGAGATCAGTTACTCTAATTGAAAATACACATAAGGCTGCAAATGAGCATTTTAAGCAGATTTTGGATAGGAAACCATACATTTGGTGGTTGGTGACTACAGACACTGCATGCAACAAAATATCAGATATTAAATCAGCATCAAGAAAAATCTTAGAGAAAACTAGTAGTATAAATATGGTAGTTGGCGAAATTTCTTACCTTAATTTAACCTATCTTGATAAAAAATTGGCTGAAATGGTAACATCGCTTGCAACCTTTATGTTGCATGTACAAATTTTTCTGGAAGTACCCCCTTCCCTGTGGGCAAAGGGAGGGGATGTGGTGGTTTCAAATTGACTGATACAAATATGTACATTAGAGGTAAAAGCATTTCAAATAAATTAATTTCCAAAACATGTAGCAGTTTACACATAAGCTTAATTGCCATGTGTTGTCTCATTAACTGTGCAGCCATGGGCTGAGTGCGGTTCATGTTCTACCCGTGTTTTTTTTTTTTTTTTTTCTGTCGGTGACCAGACGCAGCCCTCCACTCTGCCAACTTTGAATTACACAATCTGTAATGTTCACTCACCAAACCTTGTTTCTTCAGGGTCAACAAAAATCTCAGATTACAAAGTCATGCCGAACTCACGCTTTGCAAAAAAATCTCTTCAAAACCCTGACTTCGAAGTGATATATCACTTTAGCATTAATAGCTACCTCATATCAGCAGTAGTAAAATCTATTCCTTAACAATCCAGCTTCATCATATTAAAATTTCAATGAAATTGAACAAAACCAGAACTAAATATAATTAGATTTTTTTTTGTCACCTCGCTTCATTGCTTGAGTCAACAAAGGAAGCGACGGTTGCCCATAGCCACCGAAACACACGAACACAACACAAACCGACATTTCGGTCAAAAAAGTCCAGGATTATTGCCTGAGAGCTCAAAATTGAAGAGGGACATCTTTTTCGAACTTTTGTCAGGTTATTTAAACGAAAAAATGACCTTGGCGGGCTCCAAAAGAGAACGAGACAAAAAAACAGAACGAGACAGTGAAAAGAACCGATAATTTATTCACCGCGTGGCCTTCGTTACGTTCAAGTTAAAAAAAGCTTACTTCTGGATAATTTCAGCCTTACAAGCCAGCAACTGGTCCCAAATTACTTTCTGTATCCTTACAATTGTCCTGACTTCCATCTCACAAAGATTTGGCTGCAGTTTTTTAGCAAATAAACATTTTGCCGACGGCAATCACCATTACGGTGGCTTGCATACTAATTCGCTAACTTTACAAAACCCTCCTGAGGGGGGGATATGACAAAAAGAGCTGAAAAATGATGGCTGGAAATAGGGTAATTTTCTCAGCTTCCGGTGTGTAGGGACTTTCATATTGGGAAGCCTGGATACTAGTTTCGTTGTTTGTATGACAAAATTTTCGCAGGAAAAATTGTAAATATGGCGGTCCTTCATGAATTGTCATAGTTTTAAAAACGTTTCATCAGAAATTCGTCTTTGGAGGTAGAAGACCCTATGTAAAAGTTAAGAAAATACACATACCCGCTTTCAAGTTGTTGGCCATACAGAAAGAAATTCAAGAAATATGGAGAAAAGTGCAGAGTTTGACAAGGAAAATTGCGTGAAGTGGTTGGCAGATATCGGAGCTTCTACATCTGGTTCAAAACAAGAACTAACAATGAGGATAAATCGATTATCAAGATATCCAGGACTAGTCCAGAAACTCAAGACAAAGTCAGAAAAAGCTAACGTATTTCAGTTTAGTCTTGATTCCACGGATATTCCATTGGCCACAGCCAAGTGGAGGGCAGCCAGCCAACGACGATTTGCCCAAGATCAACAATAAAATGTTTACTCAGTATGTTTCCATGAAACGGGAAGGTAGTGCTGGTCAGCAGAAGAAAGCGTTACAAATGTTTACAAGTAGAAAAACTGTCAATGTCAAAACTCTTGTCAACGAGCAAGTAGTCAGTTACGTGAAGGCTATGATAAAAAAGTCTTACGGGTCCATGCAACACAACAGTTATTATGTTTGAAAATGGAATACCAACCAAAGCTCATTGTAGTTGTTCAGTAAGACTAAGTGGAATCTGTTGCCATGTATTAGCATTGCTTCTCTTCTTGAAATACTATCATGAAACTGGAAAAAATACAAGCCTTAACATGTACAGAACAACTCCAGAAATGACATAGGTCCTCACACAAGAGCTCTATACCAATGGTACCAATGAGGGAGTTAAACATTAAATCTGCCGTAAGAGTTGAAAACAAAGGAGGTACCATTCAAGTGGCTGATCCCCAAAATAGCATGATGAAACATGATGTTCAAAAAATGAGAGATGAAATGAAAAGTGGAATCATTAAAATTGAGGACACCGTTAAACCATTTGAACATCATGAGTACACAGTACTGGTTGAATCCACTGAACAACCCCTGACTTTTCAGTGATACAGTTATCTGATATAGAACCTGGGTAGATATCACTAGAAAAAAAAGACCCATCCCATGTGATGCAATTCCAATGAGGACTTTGCCTGTTATGGTGTTCTTGTAGGTAGAAAACATGAGAGAATTTAAATCAAGATTTGATACATGCTGAAATTTCAATTCAGTACAATCGAGGATCATGTCTGTGAGTCCATGGCCAGTCTTAACGAAAATGTCAGGCATCTTCTTTAGTAAAACCCAGCTTCAGGCTTAAGGTTAATACAAGTGAGGTTTGTCTCAAGGAAACTATCCAAGTAACAAATATGCACTGAATTGTGTACTGTAGTGCTACCAAAACAGTTAACTTTTAAAAGCGCGGTTGTAAGATCTTAAAGATCTTCTTGTTCCAGATAAATTACTCTAAAAAATCTTGTTATGATTAAACAAAGACAAATAATTAATCTGAGATAAAATTATTCACCTTCTAAGGCTCCATATAGCTATTCTATTTATTTGATCTTGTCTGCTGTGTGTGTGTGGGGGGGGGGGCAACANGGGTGGCGACACACGAAAATACACATATAGCGGAAGGGGACATACATGATGATGTTTCATGCAGGACGAAGCTAACTTAGAAGCAAGCTGGAAGCCGATCAAAAGGGAAAGGAATACATAGTACTACAATTAACAATGTAAATAAATCAAATACATTTTGTTTGTCCAAAATGCTTACCGAGTTCAATCGCTCGCCAACAAAGTTCTCTAGCTCCAAGCGAAGTTCTTCCCTGAATAAATTACAACAAGTACACTAATAAAGAGAAAATCCTCCATACGAACAAAGCATGAAAGCACTAAAAGGAAAGGTACACAATACACAGTGAATAACAACTAATTAACCTTTTACTCTGCCTTTATTCCGCCTCGTTCAACAACATGGACGAACTGTTGTTGCAAAGAATGCTGGGAGCGTTCACTCATCTCGCCCGTTACCCGCGCGTGTTGGTGTAGTGACAATATTCGCGCATAATCCATATTTTGCCCGGGTGTGTGGCGGGAAGGGGGAGAATGGTTACTCCCAGAATAATTGGGTGGGGGTGTGCGGCCTGCTTCCCAAAACTCTTACTCTATTTAATAAAGACCAAATTCTGCTATTTTCCCTACCATATGACCTGACCAAAAATTCGAACCCTATTTATGACCTGACCCTTACTATATATACAAGAGAAATTGAAAAAGGTTCGAGTTATTAGGAGTTCGAGTTTTCGGGAGTTGAGAACAAATGACGGGAAACAATGAAAAAACGGTGTTTAATGTTTTTCTATTCATGCAGTGTACATTTTAATCAAATTTAACTGCACTGAAAGGGAGCCAAGAGATTTAATGACATTTTGGAAAAGGAGTTAAGAAGCAACACTTTGCGAAAACCAGCGGAACCTGAACTGAACTGACACGTTTTGTGTAATGTAAAGAAAGAGAGAAAGAAGTTCACGCGGCTGCTTTTCATGTAGTCTCCTTCGCAGCCGTTATTAGGGTCGTCACGCAACGCTCCTCCCCACTAACGGCCGTTAGTGGGGAGGAGCGTTGCGTGACGACCCTAATAGCGGCTGCGAAGGAGACTACTTTTAATGACGTTTTGGACTACAGTACACAGTTTGTTTTGATTTGTCACGTATTGACAGGCATGGTTCGAGTTATCGAGGGTCAAATTATATAGAAAATGAACTCAGCTCAACTTCGCAGGCAAGCCCGCGGTCAATGCCTGGGACAGATTATGATTCGACGATAAATGCTCACATATGCCGTGACGGTGTCCCAGGCCGCGCCGACGGTTTTGTCCCAGGTAGGCTTAAGGGAGAACCCCTCCCCCGGGATATTTTGATCCACTTTCATTCATGCCTTCGCGGATTTGAAATTTTAGTTGAAGTCTGTTGTGACCGGACCGAACCTCCCTCTTCGTAACTTCTGGCAGGAAATTTATAGGTAGTTTGGTAGTCAGCCACTAGGCATTTTTGCTAATAATAATAACTTGAGTTTGTTAGCACGAGTGCAAAACGCGAGAAAATTCCTCTCATGGCTAACCCTGAATTGAAGAAAGCTACAAGAATTAACGAAGAATTATACCGCACTGCTAAAACTTTCCAACCTGGGGCCTGTTTCTCGAAAGCCCCGGAAACTTTTCGGGCCCGAAAAGCCATTTTTAGTTGATCGGTATTTGAAGACAGAGAGGTGTATACGCCTGAAGCCCTGAAACTTCTTGTACGGAATGGAACCTCAGTTTATATTAAGAATATGTTAATAAAGCAGCTCTGTAACCATGAGGTTTAAGATTTTGCTACGGCTTTCCGGGTGCAAAAACTTTTCGGGACCTTCGAGAAACGGGCCTGTTCTGCGGCATTTTGTAATAACTACGCATTTTGTAATACCTTACGCATTTTGTAATAAAAGTTGCAGCATTTTGTAATTACTTGCAGTATTTTGTATTAAATGCAAACGACGCATTTTGTAATAAGAGCTGCAGCATTTTGTAATAAACGTCAGTCTACGCAATTTGTAATAACGTGGTGA